TTTTTATTAGTAGTATATTTTAAAACCTTTTTTCAACCTTTTATAACTTGTGACCCACTTGATAATTTTTTAATTTTTTTTTTTTACTTCCTCCACCAACGGCTGTCTACATGCAACACCGCTGTTGATAGATGAGGTGACGCCCATGCTAGGGTGGTTTTTTTTTTTTTTTTTTTTTTTTTTTTTTTGTTTTTTTTTTTTTTTTTTTTTTTTTTCTTTTTGTCCAACTCACTGTGGTCTTACTTGGTTTTGTCTGTGACTTTTCTTCACGCCCTATCCAGAAGCTGCACACCCATGTCTCTGCACAGCGACCAGTCACTGAGAGTCGGCACTTAAGAGGTAGATGATGTCACCAGCTATGAGTCATTTCTCAATCATGCCGTCCAGGAAGTATTCATCAGTTGCTCAATTTCCTGCCACCTATTCTGTCACCTGGCACTCCGTACTTTACTTTAGATTCGTGCCATTTTTAGACTAGACATAAAATTTTCACCTCACGGATCAGCCGTGTCTGCGCGAGGATTTCCGTGATCTTGTGGATCGACACAGTCCAAGCAGATACGGTGGCCCACTTATTGCGATATTTTACCTAATTGGCAGTCGTACACATATCCATAGAGGAGAGCGTATTCTTGGTCAAACACGTGGGGTGGGGGGGGGGGCGTTGAAAGAAGGAGGATAAAGAATAGGAAGCTCAAGGGAGCGTAGTGGCCGGGTTAGTGTAAGAGGACACGCTTCACTCTTGGTTTGGGGGGGGGGGGGGNATGACAACATGAGAATGGATTCTTTCGTGAATGCGTACATTTATAGACAGTTAGACGAGGCCTCATTTCAGAAGTATCCAGGATCGCTTATAGATTAGGCAACACCTGGTACGTCTGAGCATTCACTACTTGTGTGCATGAGAGTTGTTTCACACATCCCTGCTACTTCACCTCCCTACAACAGAGTACACATTACACATGTCAACGAAGTAAAAAATTATGCAGCTGAAGAATTTTAATGAACAAAAGTTAAAATTCAAAGAAGCAGACTCACAAAACAGAAGAGCGTGCAAAAAAAAAAAAAAAGAAAGAAGTCCAGCATTTTTTCAAATTACAATTAGAATCTACTTTTTAACTAAGACTGAGCATGTAAACAGCACCGTTGGTTGTGCGCTAAGCCTACCTAGTGAAATCACTAGGGTTGGCTTCACCCTCATGGAGTACCGACTCACGCCAGACTTCCACATGGAAACTCCTCTAAGATTGCCTGCTCCGGTGACACACTGTGTTAGTGTCAACCTGCTCCGGCGACACACTGTGTTAGCGTCAACTTGCTCTGGTGACACTGTTGTAGTGTCAACCTGCTCCGGCGACACACTGTTCTAGTGTCAGCCTGCTCTGGTTGTTATCATAGCTTCCCTGTCTCCTCCCCGCTACGGGCTAATCCATAGTACAAGGTATAGCGTCAACTTGCTCTGGTGACACTGTTGTAGTGTCAACCTGCTCCGGCGACACACTGTTCTAGTGTCAACCTGCTCTGGTTGTTATCATAGCTTCCCTGTCTCCTCCCCGCTACGGGCTAATCCATAGTACAAGGTATTAACGCTTCCTTGCCAACCTGTGCTCACTACGCCTAAGCACCAGCTAGCAGAGCATCCATGCGCCCCTACTCGCTACGCCTAGGTACACGCTGTCACCACGTTTCGGTCATCCCGTTGCTATATTTACTGTTGTCTGGGCAGCGTGTGGCGTCATATGGATGGAAATACATGGATGTCATCGTCACTTAAACATTAACACTGATGTCTGCGACTGTCATCGCATTTCAGTATACAGCATTGTTTGGACAACGCTCTTGGGGTTTTGTGACCAGCATCCCCACACACACACGCATACAAACACACACACGCCAAACATTTATTTCTATTCTTTAATGCAGTGGTCACCAAATGGCAGCTCGCGTGCCGCATGCGGCACTTTAATGACCTGAGGGTGGTTTTGACTCCTAAAAATATGGTTCTTGACAGGTTCTTGAAAAGAAATGTGGCTCTCAAAAAATGTTTATTTTCCTGCTGCTGACATTTGGCGCTTTTGACTAATGAGTTTGCCGACCACTGCTCTGATGTAAGGACTCGTTTTAATTATATTGTGACATATCAGCCATAACTTTATAGTCCCTTACTATACGAGATGGATAGTAAATTTTCATTTAAAAAGAGAATTTTTGACAACTTACTTTTTGGGCATGACACTTGCTTTTTCTACATGTGAATAGCAATTATTTTTTGAAACCATTCCATTAGTTTGCAGCTGAGTTGGCAAACCCGTGGCCCGCGGGCCGAATGTAGCCTGCTGTGTTAAATAGTGTGCCCCGTCAGTTGTATCACAAATGATACAGGCTTTTGTACAGTTTTTGACTGCATTCGAAAAAGAAATTTTTTTGCACCAGACACATGTTCAAAACTGGTGAAACAATAAATTCAACGTTGGAAAACAAGAAGTTTAAATTCCTAGTTCTACATTCTAAATGACAAATTTGGGATCAATAAGCCATCTTAATTTAGAAGCAGCGCGATTTCATTGATATCATTCGTCAATACTAAGACAGCGTCATGTGGTAGTAACTATTTTAAGTAGCAAAAACAAAACAAAAACAAAAAAAAAAAAACAAACAAACAATTATGGTAACTACTCATCCATATGTGTAACTCTAAACAAAAAACTGAAGTTATTTTAATTTATATTAAATAATTAAATATTATGTAATATTATCATCAATCCATGGCATAGCATTAGTTATTACATCATTTTTATTTTTTACAGCGGCATAGCATGATGAAAAAAATAAGGTTATAAACTGAAAGTAAACTCAGCAAATTTGTCAAGACGGACGAATATTGTTTTTACTCCGTTAATTTCAATACATGAATCTGTATTGGGCGTCGTTCGCAAATTACGTCACGCAAAAAAGACCTTTTTTAGACACCTCTCCCCCTGTCACGAATTCTTTACCCCCCCCCCTCCCCACCCGTGCCATGTCACACCTAAACAAATTTAAAACATACATACAATTTTCATAACTAAACTAAGATTTTATATTATTCTTTATTATTTTCCCATAATGGGTTAAGATAATGTAGTATTATTAGAAAACTTTGACGCGAAACAACGGAGTCATCCACAAGCCGATTGTAAGATGGCCACAACATTTTTTGCGTCATTTTTCGATTTGCGCAAAAGGTGTGCGCTTAAAAAAATAAAATGTTTTAAAAAACGTGACGTCAAACATTTTTACCCCCCCCCCTCTCCCCACTGTCACATAGTGTAAAAAAATTCTCGAGCCCCCCCTCGAGCGGGACGTAATTTGCGAACGACCCATTACTACAACTAGCATAATTTTTCAATTTGCAAAAAGGGTGTGCGCTTAAAAAAATAAAATGTTTTAAAAACCGGACCGTAAAAATTTTTTCCCCCCCCCCTCTCCCCACTGTCACATAGTGTAAAAAAATTCTCGAGCCCCCCCTCGAGCGGGACGTAATTTGCGAACGACCCATTACTACAACTAGCATAATTAACAGATTGTGAACGAAGCGAAGGGGAGACGATTCATTGTTTATTCATGCAGTTTTATATTTTTTATCTTTTTCATCATTTTAATTTTAATGTATAATTCATTCTTTAAATTTGATGAAAAAAGATTTCAATTATACATTTTTTCGACTTTTCAATTATTATTTTTTTTTCATTACAGTGTTTCTGCTGTAGTACATTTTTCCCGGACTTTTTGAGAAAAAAAATCTATCCTACAGCCTACATGTTGGGCAAGTACATTATTATGGGCTGATTGGAATTTGATAACACTTGTTTCGTTCGAAGAAATCTGCGCCACTGCCCAACATCCTGCAAACGAAATGCCTATCGTGCACTCGTCCGTCCACTACCAGAATATGGTACGACCATCTGAGACCCATACCTAAAGCAAGTTGTGGACAAGATCGAGCGAATACAAAGTAACGCAGTGCACTTCATCGCAAGTGACTACAAATCCACCACTCCTGGCTTCGTCACTGACCTCTTAATAAGATTTGACATCCCCTCCCTCAAAGACAGACGAGAAAATCTCCGCCTAACATTCTTACATAAAGTGGTCACGGGGCTGGTGCCGGCCATTCCAGCTAACACGTATCTAACCCCGCAGAAGCCAGGTCGCTTAATCAGAGCCAAACGCTCAATAAACACTGACTTCACCTCTGACAACTCCATGAGCAGTTATATCCGGAACAATGGTAAATGCTTCACTGTGACACGGTGTAACACAGCCCAAATCATTCTTCCCACGACGATAATTGCTTGGTACCAACTGGACAATGCCGCCGTGGACTCGACATCAATTGAGAGTTTCAAGGCTGCCCTGGCACCCGCTGGGAACCGTTAGGATGGCCGCATCGTTTCCCAAACGGTTGCACATCTGCCAGATAATGAATGGAGAAACGTACCTTATCAGAATCTATATAATTAATATTTCTCTACTATAAATGGTATAAAGAATTTCATGTTGTTATTAGAATGCTGAAAGCCAGCTCTTTCCAATGTAAGCTCTTTGTGCATGTCAGGTGTATTGGTTGGACAATTTGAGTTGAATATTTTGGCACTCCCCTCCTCCCCAATTCACACGGCTGTGGTACCAATAGTCTAATTACTAATATATAATTATAATTAATGATTCATAATTATTTTAAAATTAAAATAGCATTATATCGAAACTTTTATTTCTAAATAACCCCTTTCTTGTCGCAACAATGGACAGAAATGCCACCTCATGAGTGCCCCACTCCTATTTTTTCCCTACTTTGGAATTGACGATCATCTTTTAAATTCTACGTAGGCCTAAACAGAGGTTTTCATGACATGAATGGACCACCGTGTGTAACCTGGATACCGGACACTGACTGTTATTTTAGACAGAGCTCTCCAGCTTTGATAATTTTATTACATCATTTAAACCTCATCCTGTTTATATTCAAGATGGCGGCGCGCTTGATGAGTCGTGTTGTTAGACTGAAAGGTCAACGGTCTTGTAAATATGCTCAGTATGTATATCTTAACTTTGTTTAATGAATTTATTTTGGATCGATCCAAAATACACTAATGGGTTCATTTGTCCTTCGAAGCCTTACACCTATTTACTCACACTATCTCTTTACTTTTAATTAATTATATAAAAAATGATGTTAAAGGAAAATAAGTCCTGACTTACTTAACCTCACTATCAATTCAATAGTCAATAATACTAATTATTTTTATGATTAGGGCTAATGATTAATTATGCTTATTGATAATTAACTATTAAGCCTATCTTGTATCTATTGTCAAAATTCTCCTATCCCTATAATATATAATTATAATATATAAAACGAAGTGTCTACACGTCCGGCACGTCCGGCGCGCCGGACGTGTAGTGCGCAAGATACACGTCCGGCGACTTGTCACATGACCGCCGGACATGGCCGGACGGCTAGTAGTTTTTATAATTCCAAACGAAGTACGATTTAGTACATCTTGTCTGGTCTTGTGGTAGAGTGGTTGCTTGACGATCGGAATGTTTGAGGATCTATACCGGGGATAGGGTCGTTTTTTTTCTTCCCATTTTAATTAAAATATTTTGTATATATTTATATTATCATGTTCCTCAGCAACAGTAGTTTCATGAGAAGTTTTTAAATATTTTGTAGCAATTGAAATAATTTAAAATGAAATCTTTAACTTTTATTGGTTGCCACACTGGCCCCTAATTTATTTTATGGATTACTGGTACACAAAATCTAACAAACTAAACAAAAATGTTTACAAGCCACTTTCACTTAAGTTTCTTTTTCTATTATTTGCATTCAAGATACTCAGTACATTACTTGGTAGAGAAATAGATTTTAAAATTAACAATAGTTTTGAATTATTCGCAGTCACGTGACAAGGCTGACCGACACGATATCTCTCGCCACTTTGTTACGGCGGTCATGTGACTTGGTCGCCGGACACATAGTGCGGGGGATAGACGTCCGGCACTGCCTATATAAAATTACTAGTTTTAGTACATCTAAAATCTAAGGCTGAGGCAATCCTCCGAAGTCTGCTCCCAAATTATTTCATATGAAAAAGATTGCAATGCACAGTGTGTATTGTTAGAAAAAAGCAGAAATGTCAGTCATAGCTTTTGCAAATAACTGTCACTTTAAAAACCAGTCAGTAAACACCAAATATTATATTGTAATTGGCGCATAACATTTGCAAATAGCAGCTGAAAACGTTCTGCTTGTGACTGTTGCGCCACTGAAAGGCCCCCAAGTAGCTGGCAAACAGACCGCGAGTAGAACCACTCTGATAGCGGAGTTTACGTTCCGCTTGCATCCAAAGTCCTTCAATAGTTTCTGTGCGAATGTCCTGGTCTACTGGATCAACAAATTCATGCGCGTGCACAATGACAGCGTGAGCATAAATCCTGTTGTTGAGCTGACCGACATTTTGATATCCTCGCGAAGCGTCCGTGGCGATAGATGTTCCTGGTAACACATGATTAGTGATAATGCGCTCGAGTGTTTGTGCATCTCGACGGCCGACAACCTCTATCCAACATCGTCCACTGCCGCAAACATGAATTTCAAAACAGAATGATGCCCAAGACTTTTAAGTAAGGAGTAATCATTGGAAATAATTTGGGACCGGACTTCGGAGGATTGCCAAATCTAATGTCTAATACTATATATTCTGTGTAGTAAAATAATAAAATATAAATTAATATTATTATATATACACCCCCGAATCTAACAGTCTCTTCATTTAAAAAAGTTATTTGGTTAGTCGGTGGGTTCTACTTCATTTTAATAATTCAATTTCGGCTATAACTCAAATTGACACTGTAGGGACTTCTGTACTGCCTGTAAGTGTACTATAAACACCAGAAAATCTTGTATAGTAATTTTGTTGTCTAAATGGTGACCTCCACTTCTTAATTTTCCGAGGTATTGTAATTCATGTAAGTAATGTTGGTTTGAATTTTATTGTCGAATTTTAGTTTAAATAAGGGTTATGGAAGGTGGAGGAAAACACAATTAAAAAAGTGATTTATTATATAGGGCATTACTAAAAAATTCATAAATTTTGAACCACTTGGACTTGAGTTTGAGTTAGAAAATTTTCCTTTTTGTTTTTTTACACCATTTTCTATACAGTACTGCTGCAGTATTTTTATATTTTTAAAAATGTTTTGAAATTTTCATCGAAGTGCCTTGTGAAAGAATTCATTATTTTTTTAAAACAATAACTTTAACACTAACATTGAATGCCTGGAGTTCTGTATGATAAGAATCATTATGCCTAACTAATTATTAATTTCTTCTTAATAAATAATTTAGCCAGCTGCATTAGACTGACTGGTTGAGTTAAGTTATTGGAAATCTACTACTTCAGCGTGGACTATTAAAAATTGTGTTGTTCTGGTTTAAAGTTCTATTTAAACAGCTATTCTTTTATTGGTTTCCCTTAATAGTTCCACTTCCATTTAAATTTGTTGAGCAGATTTCTTTTAAATAATTAATGCCAATCTACTGATATGGCAGGGAACAAAAAGAGGAGAGACAAAAATATTGCAGGTGCATGAAATTTTTGATGTTACTCAGATATGTGGCTGGTCAAACTACTCTAATTTAGCACTGCAATGTGTGTGTGTTGGCGCCTGTTAAAAAATAGTATGACATGTGGTGGCTACTATGTTTTGTAAAAATTAAACAGATGCACTCAAGGACAGGATGGTCTCAGGTGGGCCTGTGCTGCGTGCTGTTTCAGAAAGTCACTACAGGAAGTCTCTTTTTCGATGAAGTGTGATTTTTAAAAAATAAACTTTAAATAAAGGTTTTTGCAGGAAGTCACCTCAGTATAACACCTGTTTACCCTCCAACTCTTATAATCGTACAATATCATCACAAAATCTTTCAATACATTATCTGAATAGTAAAAAATAAACATACAGTATATATAATGTATACACCTCAAAATCGTACATTGTATGCCAAAATTGTAAGGGTAAACAGGTCTGCTGTATCCAGCAAATTATTATTCTAGTTTACTGATGGTGTTGTGATATGGCACCCGAGGCTGACATATATCACTATTGTGGCAGACTGGTGCAGGAGGAGAGGAGTGTGAAACCTGGCTGGTTGCCAATGCATCAGAAATTGGGTTTTTTGATGATCAAGGGGAATCAATTGTTGTAGAAATGAATGTAAATAAATATTTCTACAGGAAATACCACATGGAGTCAGGGCCACTGGGTTTTCTGTGGCATAGAAAGAGAGTGTGGTCTTTTTTTTTTATCATCTAAGTGCAAGACTGACATGAGATCACTTTTTACAGGAGTGCATAGAAAGATATATCCTTCCGGGCTCCCTCATTATATTGGACGGATGGGCGGTGTATGCAAACATAAACCAGATAAGACACGGAATATATGAACACTGTGATGTTGTCCGTCAACAAAATTTTGTCAGTGCAAATGATATAGTGTCCATACACAGAACGTTGAAAACATGTCAATGTGTGCAAAGCACAAACTGAAAAGACACTCTGGCACAAGCCGCAATGTAAAGGGAAAATATTTGCATTAGTTAATGTTCTGCAATAGTTTTCATGGAGATGATATTTTCAAAAACTTCCTTGTTACCTTGGGGGAGAACTATGCATAATCTCAAACTCTTCTGTCTTTTCATACACTAAATTCTTTCAATTTTTATATTTACAAAATTTTGTCTTGGATTATTTATATATGAGCTGAAATGAATATGTCCAATGTCATAAAAAACATGTCCATTTATTTGGATCAATAAAAGAATTTCTTCTTATCAATAAAACAATAACCTTTTAAATAGCAATTCAAATCAGAACAACAAGATATTTTAATAAACGATGCTGAATTGATAAATTACCTAAAGGCTAATAAATAATATACACTATAAATATAATTAAACTTAGGCAGGTAATGAATAGGGAGAGACACGGCATAAGTATATTACTTGATGGGTAACGTACAAAGTGTCCTAAGCATAATTCGCTCAGGGCAGAACCCATTGCTTCTTTCCACACATATTCAGGATTGATCATTGAAAGTACACTTAGTGATTTCGGGTTGGGGCGGTGGGGAGGGGGATCCTATTTATACAGTTTTATAGAATAAAACTAATCAAATATCAACTAGCTTAAGCTATGAATTTAAAAAAGCAATATGAAAATGTGAGTTTGTTTGTCCTTTTTCATGGGTATATAATACTATTAATACTATGATTCAATATGATATAGTTTATAATCTGATGACACCAGCATGTGATGTTGTCAAAAAGTCAGACACAGTAAGTGTCAACTGTATTGCACATGTGCATCGCCACAGTAAAAAATTTAGCCCTGAGAAGCCACAGTTATTCATAGGCTCACCTCGACCCACCAATTTTTAAAAGTTAACATGCCTAGTTATTATAAAAGTTAGCAGTCAAGTTGCCTAAGTTATAGTTAAGGCCTAATAAATTTATTGTAATGGATCACTTAACTTAAATTAACTTAAGCTGAATAACATTTGGTGATTGATGAGACATTCTTCAACTAATATTTAATATACATACAGACAGCCAGTAGTGATAAAACAGGCCAAAATCAAAGATTACTTATTTCTAAAGTTTTTGTTGGCTTCTATTTATGTAGTCTTTCATCTTTAACTGGAAGCTAATCTTTATTATGTTTAAAGTTTTTTTTTAAAGGTTGATATATGCATGGTATAATTGTATTTTAGTCTAGTAAATCTAATATGATGAAGCAGGCATATTTTTAAGCCTTTAATTAAATTATTTTATTAGACTCAAGTCTATTTCATTCTGTAGGGTTAGAGCTTTTATTATTTTTGTGCAATCTTCCCTAAACAGCAATCATTTAATGCCTTGTTACGCCGTGTACTGGGAAACAAATTAAGATCCAGCTATCATCTATTGCAGTGGTCCTTTACCGGTCCGCATGCCTAATTCTGCCGGTCCCCATAACATAAATATTTATTGTCAAATAGAAATAAAAGTATACAAATAAATCATGCACTGGTCCCTGGTAAAATTTCGAAACTTGTTCACCGGTCCGGCAAACTTAAAAGTTTTGGGAACTACTGATCTATTGTCATTTATGGATAACATTATTTTATGCTTATGGTCTTTTATGAAAATGTTTTGGTTCACACAGAGTAAAAAAAAAAAACTGGGAAAATGGTTAAAAAAAATAATTAAAAGATAGGGCCAAGTTAACCCTGATGTTGCTTACACATATTTTCTATCAAATTTTTTTTTTTTTTATTTGCAGGCGCTTTTTTAGAAGTACAAAGTTTGAATATGTAGAAATCACAAAAGTTTCCCTAACTAAAAAACTGCCAGGACTGCCAAGTTTTGGGAACTACTGATCTATTGACATTTATGGATAACATTATTTTATGCTTATGGTTTTTTATGAAAATGTTTTGGTTCACACAGATTAAAAAAAAAAACTGGGAAAATGGTTAAAAAAAATAATTAAAAGATAGGGCCAAGTTAACCCTGATGTTGCTTACACATATTTTCTATCAAATTTTTTTTTTTTTTATTTGCAGGCGCTTTTTGAGCAGTACAAAGTCTGAAGATGCAGAAATCACAAAAGTTTCCCTAACTCAAAAACTGCCAGGACTGCCAACACCACAGTATGCTACTGCTTCAGTTCATGCTTATGATACTCATGTGACAACACTTGACAATGGCTTACGCATTGCTTCTGAGAACAAATTTGGACAGTTCTGTACAGTTGGAGGTAGACTTTGTTTTAATTTATTTTCATGACCTTAAATTGTAAATATTATCGTATACCGGTAATAAAAAAATTTTAAGTTTGCTTTAAAAAATTCAAATTGTATAGTAATATCTTGATGGATGCTTCACCAAAATACTAGAGAAAGTAGTTATTACTTTTTTGGTTATTTGTCATTCCAATCTGTTTATCTGAACAAAAGTCGAGCTATTTTTTTTTTAATACTAGACCCAAGGAAAATGAAAATATCTCAAACATTTTTCACTATATTTTAAACAACTTATCAGTGATTTCATCATATCAATGATTTTCCTTCAGTACTCCCATATCTATGAATTTGCATTATTCATTATAGTTCTACTGGAATCAGGATCAAGGTTTGAGGCTGTATATCCTAGTGGCATTGTGCACTTTGTGGAAAAAATGTCCTTTGGGGTAAACATATCTACTATCTTTTATATATTTTTTTAATGTTCTCATACTTGGATTTTCACAATTAAATATCTTGTAAACTTTTTTTCAAGTTTTAAGAATTAAAATTCACTTTCAAATTTTAGTTAATTATGTAAAGATCATTTATTTTTCCGCTCATATTTTTGTGTAGATTTTATTTTGGAATATAAGTCATATAAGCATACCCTTATTGTTCCAGACTACTCCTTCATGGAGCACTAAAGACCAGATTTTACAAGAGCTAGAAAAAGTTGGAGGTATCTGTGATTGTCAAGGTTCAAGGTAGAGATAACTGTAAATCTATTTCCATGTTATGTGGTGCTGAAATGTAAAAAAAATGAAATTGAATTTAACAAGAAGTAAACTTTGAGATAACACTATCAAGGTATATGAGTTTAAAACATAATCATTTGCTGCTGCTTCTATCTGGGTATCTGTTGTTGTTTTTCGTCCTTTGCACCTGAAGATGACAGTGGACATTTTTTTAACATGAGTAGTAGCCTTGACTTGAGTTGGATTTTGTTTAAAGTGAGGGAGAGTTGTTAAATTCATCAGCCTCACGCTTTTGTCCTTGCCCATTTGATCCATGGCAAGATTTAGTCAAGACGACTGGAAATAGACCTCGATGCAGTAGATGATCAGCAGTGTTCCTTGTGTGTTTCACTGTGCTCTTTACGCTTTGGACGTCACAGAAGTTGTCAGAATTTTCATTGCGTCAATGTCATAACGCCTACAAGACTCCATCTCTGAGTTTGATTTAATGAGTTGCCATACACAGTTAATGAGTCTCATCCGCTCGGGGTGCTGGGTATTTTTTTGCTTGTTTTTGGCGTTTCTGGAGATTGAACTCTAATCCACTAGCTTGGATTGAATCGGTTTAGACCACTCGGTATTTACTGTGCGAAGCATGGCCTGCACCAAGTCTATGAGATTTATTATGCTTATATTTGGGTTGGGGGCAAAGATTATATTTAGTAAGGAGTGGGCTTACTTGTAATTCTTTGGATTAATTATTTTTAATTTTTTTTTTCCTCATTTGGGTTGTTCAGCCACTTGTTTCATTCTCCACAGGGACACTCTGGTGTATGCAGCATCTGCTAGATCTAATGGACTTGATGTAGTTATGAACATCTTGTCAGATGTTGTTCTAAGACCACTCTACCCTGATGAACAAGTGAGTCTTCTTTATCCAGTCCAAGAATGTATGTCTTACATTACAGTATTTATTTTGTACTGCTGTTAGCTATATCTTTTTTTTTTTCTCTGGTCAGTGTATGAAGTTGATTACCTTTTTTTTGTTCCTTTTTGAAGATGGAAGATGCGAGGCAAGCCATTAAATTTGAAATAGAGGCCATGCATATGGATCCCAACCCTGAACATTTGCTGGTAGAAATGATTCATGCAGTAAGTACTTATCTATACTTACTCTTTATAGATGCTCATTGATAGTTTGGTGAACTATAGACAGAGTATAAGATTAGTTAAGTTAGTCTATTTTGTCATTTCAGTATAGAAATTACTTAATATGGGAAAAAAAAGCACATTGGATTTTAAATTTAAAAATTGTTTACCCCAGGCAGCTTACAGAGGCAATTCTTTAGGCCTCCCTCGAATCTGTCCAGAAGAAAACATACCATCAATCACCAGACCAACATTGTACTCGTACATGAAAGGGAGACACCATCCAAAGAACACTGTGATTGCAGGTGTGGGCATTGAGCATGAAAAACTCATAGAACTGACACAGAAGTATTTTGTCACAGACAAGACCCCTGTGTGGCTAGCTGAGGGGGAAACTTGGGGTCAGCAAGAGATTGAACCCAGGTGTGTTTCCCAATACACTGGAGGAATTTTACAGGTGATAAATATTATCTTTCATTTTGGTTGACATTATTTTTCATCCTTATGCATATTATGTCTTGCTGCTTGCCATCGCTTATCCTTTGAACATAATATTTGGATACCAGTTATACTGATTTTTTATTTTATTTTTTTCAGGTTGAGAAAGATTTATCCAATGTCAGCTTAGGACCAACACCCATGCCAGAGTTGGCTCATGTTGTGTTTGGTCTTGAGAGCTGTAGTCATAAGGACCCTGACTTCATTGCCTTCTGTGTGCTGAACATGATGCTAGGAGGTGGTGGATCTTTCTCCGCTGGGGGTCCTGGCAAGGGGATGTACACTCGGCTGTACCTTAATGTTCTCAACAGGTATGGCGATGTTGGCTACTACGGTCATGGTCCAGTAAAAGGGTTAATGGGTTATGACCGTGCATGTCTCTGTTGTTGAAGATGATTGTGAAAGTCCCTTTTGTTGCAGGTATGTGTGGATTGAAAGTGCAACTGCTTATAACCACGCCTATGATGATAGTGGCTTGTTCTGTATTCACGCCAGTGCTCACCCATCAAAAGTAAGTTATATGTATACTGTACAAACTGCTTTATCAGAGGGCCTCACTCTTTGTTAAAGCTGCATGCCCATTTAAGTTTCTATAGCTGTCTGCAAAGTTAAGAAAAAGATACCCTTTCAGATTATAAAAAAAAACTTATAAAATATGTATTAGTTTATATGCATGGCCATCGACCATGACCACTTGAATCATATGTGTGCTAATACTGAACTAGTTTTTGGGAGCAGATGGCTGATGATGCACACAATTTTCTTGTGCAGTAAGTGAAGGAAATTGATGGGACATCTCCAGGGGCAGAGTTAACCCAGAATTTTCTGGCATGTCTTGTGTACTCTGCAACTGCTGTTCTGTTGGCTTCATGTTGTATGGAGCCTTTGTGTACAGAGGAACGCCCTTATGCTCGATCCCTTGCAGATTCTTCTCATGTGTCTGGGTCTATTTTGAACGCATACAGTGACGCTTTTAAAGTGTTTCTTCTGCCCACCACAAATCGCCTTCTATGCTCATGCTCACCATAGAGTATTCTTTTGGGCAAGCGGTCGTCTGACATTCTCACAATATGCCTTAAAATTGTAAAGATGCTGAGGAGACCTGCCCCTGCAAATACCTGAGTGTCTGGGACCCTGTCCTGCCCTTTCATGTTGAGAGTTTTCCTGAGTTTGTCGCATGAAAGTGGTTCAACATTCTTGCATGGCGTTCATAGACAGTCTACATTTGACAGGCATAGAGAAGCGTATGAAGCACAGCTTTCTTGTATTCTTTCATTTTAGTTGAGTGCTGATACCTTGCCAGATCAATACTGGTTGTACTGACTCTTGCAATATGAAAGGTAACCTCATCATCGATGGTTGCACTTTGGGGCATAGTGCTGCCAAGGTTTGAGAAGCTATTTAAAAATTTAAGCCTTTTGCCATATACTTGGCCTCGAATAGCTGACTGGCATTTTGTGTTAATGGTGAGACCAAAGTTTGTTAAGACATTGGCGAAATTAATAATCAGCATTGGATATCCCCTTCTGATCCAGCGTTTAGGGCACAATTGTCACTATACAGGAAGACTCTGATGATGTCTGTCATGACCTTGGATTTGGCATGTTGAATAGCTTATGATCAATTCGGTATCTGAGACCAATTTCAATGCCCCCCTCTCTGAAGGCATCAGTCAGCATGGCTGAAAACATTAGGTTGAAAAGTGTTGGGGCCAGGACACAACCTTGTTTGATGCGTATTAAGACTTTTTTTTTTTTTTTTTTTTTTTTTAATTTTTTGTGTCCCTTTTTTTTTTTTAGCATGGCTGAAAACATTAGGTTGAAAAGTGTTGGGGCCAGGACACAACCTTGTTTGATGCGTATTAAGACTTTTTTTTTTTTTTTTGTAGAATAATTTGTGGTCCCTATTTCTTTTTTGTGGTCATAATAAATGTATGCATACAAATAAGAATTTACCCGTTTCATTTCTAAACAAATAATTTTTAAAAATAAGTGCTTTTAATTTAACATGTCATTTTTTTGTTAGTTTAAATTTTTTTTTTTTTTTTAATTATTTAGAGCACTACATTAGTTATTTCAATTATGCGATACATTTTAATGTTAATGTGCTTATCCACAGTTGAGGGAGCTAGTAGAGGTGATTCTAAGGGAAATTGTGTTCACATCCAGTATGGTATATCAGGTAAAAAAATTGAATCACTTAATTATAAAACCATTTGAAATTGTCATGTCCCTATATATATTATACCGGTATCTTTTTATTTTTTAATGCATCTTTTCTGTTATTCTTCTTTAATACACACACTTCTGATTATGTCCCCAAACTGAAAGAATTTTTTAACTTGCCAAGTTCCTGAAACGAACAAAAAAATTTAACTGGTAGAGCAATTTATTATTTAAACTGCGATTTCGTTCTTCATTGAATAGGATGAGCTTAGCCGAGCCAAACGCCAGCTACAGTCTATGCTTATGATGAATCTTGAAGTGCGACCGGTTGTCTTCGAAGACATTGGACGCCAGGTGTTGGCAGGATCTGCAAGACGCACACCTCAGTTTTACTATGATCAAATAGGTAAGTGTTGAACAAAAGATCCGAGTAGAGTAGAATTGATGCACACTGTGTAAGAATTGGACATGCAGTACAAGGTGAACTTGTGTGTCATGTGCAGCCCTGGTGTTGAACAAACTTTCCAGGACAATTGAAGTTTGTATTTATAAGATGTACCTTAAGTCTGGTAAGTTTTGTGCTTTGGGCACTCCATTTCCCTTTCATCCATGCTAAGTTCATTCTCTAACAATCTGATTCACCGTCCACCATACTCTAGAAAAAGACTTTCTGAAGAAATCAATCATTAGAATCATGCTTGTCAAAGTAAGTTGTCGCAATCAATGTTTTAATGCTTTTTTTTTTTCCAATACTTAAAGCATGAATGATATGTTCTTTCAGCTCTTGCTTTGAACAAAATCTGTTTGTCTATTGTATTACTAGCAGTAAATTTCACTTTTAAAACTGACACTAATTATAAAATTGATATGAGTACCGTATGACATATAATTTATATCAGTGCTAAAGGTGTTGCAGTTCAACCCACCATACTATTTCCATAATAAAATGGGCATAATGTGGTAGACCACATGTTAAGTCTCATGGTGAATATTTATCCTGTTCTTTGGGTATGATTGAGACTGATTTTGTTTAGAAATGTTTGACCATTCAAAAATGTATTCATATGATGTACATGAGTACTGTGCAGCCAAATTTGTTATATAGTGTAAACTAATTAAAGATTAAGGTTACTGATACTCTAGGTTTAATTGATGATCAGTTTCATTGACCTTCTTATATTAGGTACTTTCACACTCACGAAACGGGCCTTATAAACCCCTAGAAATCCACATGACACTGATAACAAGAATATTAGAAAATTAGAAATAGATGATAGACTTTCTGTACAATATTTTCTTCCTGATGGGAAAAATCATGTCAAGTTCAACTTTCGGTTTCTTTATTACTTTAATAATTTTAGGAAACATAACAGAACGAGATATCCAGCGAGTGGCTTCAAGGATGTTGAAGAGCAAACTTTCAGTAGCCGCCTACGGAAGTCTGTCTGGCCTCCCAGCCTATGAGGACATGGAAGCTGCAATCTTGAGTAAAGATGGACGCATGCCAAGCAAACAGAGTTTTTCCTTATTTCGTCGATAAGGAGCCCTTGGTCAGATGAATTCTTTTATTAAACTCAATGATTACACCTCCTTTTTACTAGATCATGATGAAAGGAGTGTTTTCTAATATTAAATGTGCCGCTGTTATGTGTTCAAGTTAAGTTCAACTACACAATGAAAGGATGTGGTTTTGATATTGAACACAAATTTCTTTTTAACAAAGCGCAGCTCAAGTTTTCATTTTCAAATTTTTGTTTTTAGGATTTTAAAAAAAGTTTGGAGTGTAGCAAATAAAAATATATCTAAATTGAATACATTGTTATTTTGCAAGAACATTTCTTAATTTTAAAGCCATCATTTTTGTTCTTCACCCTCTCCATCACACAAAAGTGGTTATCAAAAATTCGAAATTATTGCTTCAGTTCTTAAAAAAAGATTTGATGACCATGCAGCCATCGTAAATAGTATGGGCATTAAGGTCTTTTTTACACCTTATAAAGTTGAGAATTGAATTTTGTTGTTTTTGAATATAATTTATTTGCTTTTTTAACAACATTTTTTTAGTAATTTACAAATTCGAAAGAATAAGTTTCCATGAAGACCAGAGTGTCTATTATCCGAACGAATTGGGTCTGGGGCTGTTTCAGATAACCTAACACTCCTATGGACTGGTGGCATTAAAGAATTAAGTGTACTGGTATAGAAACAATATATTCTTACCTTATACGAATTGTGCTTTATTGTACTGTGTATTATCATCATCAGTATATTGGGTCAGCTGATTGATATAAAAAGACCGGTACGGAATGAATTTTTTTCTGTGAAAAGAATTAGGTTTCAAAATTAGATAAACATGGCTTAGAATAAGATCTGACATCAATTTGAATTTGTGGGCATGCATTCTGCAATATATTTTACAAGTTTAAAGATAGCATCCCAGTCTGGCCACTACATGTACATTATATATCTAGATTTAACCTGTATTGTGCAAAAGGGGTTAGAATGGTTTTCTGTTATTGGTTTTCTGACAATTCATACCATTTGCTCAGTGTAAAAATAAAAGTTCTGGAAAGATAGGTACTGGTATGGTAGTTTGGTTAGCCAACATTTTGGATAATCGCCCCTTGGAAAAACTACACTCTAATATATATATATATAGAGTGCATTAACAACCTCTTTAGTGATAGTCCTGATAGGCAGAGAAAAATCATGTCCCGCTATAAAGTTGTCATTTCTATTGCACTATATTTTAATTATATATGGGATGATTCATTATTTTGAAGAAAATAGAAAAATAAATTAACTAAATTTGATGCTCTAAACATTATTTTAAGAATCTCTTATTTAAAAAATTCATATTACCATCTGAAATTTTTTATCTTACTCCTTTACTATTAAAATCTATAATTCCAATTAGGTCTACCAAAAGAAACAATTTTTAACATTGTGATGTGTTAAAATTTTTAGAAATGTTTGGGGCATTTATCAAAATGTAAGTAAGTTTATTATTAAATTTTACCTTCGCTACATTGTCATAATTTTAGCTGCTCTTTGAATTCAAATTATTTCATTTTTAATTGGCCACACACTTTTTTCCGAGGCCATTAAGAAAAATCAATACTTTATTATGGATAGGTTAAGAAAGTAATATTTGGGTCTTCTTGATTCTTAAGCATTTAGTGAATTTTTAGATTTTTTTTATTATGTTGTGTTGTTTTTTTTACCTGCACTTGAACATAAGTGCAGGTAAAAATTGGATGCCTTGAGAAGAGTTGAATGGAATACAATTGATTGTGTTTGATTCAGTGAGTGTATCAATGAAATTTTTTTTTAAAGTTCAAAAGAAAGTTTGTATTATATTGTTTGAATTAATTAAATTGACTCAGAAAGTGTATAAATACTTATTAACTTTCTTGTTTTTGTGTGTTTTGTTTGCTTAATGAATTGTTCGCTTGACATTTCTGTCAAGGCTTTTAACAGTCTCTTAATATCATTTCACAAAAACTAACTCATCAAAAATTGAATGAATTAAAAAATAAGGTTCTAGAAAAAGTGGATGATACAGGATTACATTCTTTTTAGTAGGGGTCTTTAATAAATACTGGACTGAAATCAAACCAAGATTTGAGGAAATGCTAAAAGACTGATCCCACAGCTAGTGAGATGAACAATTTATTTTTGCTCCTATTTCTCATTCAAAATACAACTGTTCTCAATCTAATATCTGGTACATTACAATTCTCAATAACGATAATGATACCATATTATGATTTTAAAAAATGGCTCAGAATATAGTGGCAGCAGTCAGTCCCCTAGGTGAAGTCCTGGAGATGGCAAACTACGGCTATTTTTGAGCCACATCCGGATGTGGAGTCAATAATGAGTTTGATGCGAAAGAATTCTCTCTGCAGAGTTTTCACAGATGAGCGATTGGGGAAGACAGTTCGTCACAAATGATGGTGATGAAAATATGTGCAGAAAAACTGACATGAAAAGGTGTGCAGAGAAACTGACATGAAAATATGTGCAGAGAAACTGACATGAAAAGATGTGCAGAAAAACTGACATGAAAAGATGTGCAGAGAAACTGACAAAAAAATATGTGCAGAGAAACTGACATGAAAAGATGTGCAGAGAAACTGACATGAAAACATGTGCAGAGAAACTGACATGAAAATATGTGCAGAGAAACTGACATGAAAAGATGTGCAGAGAAACTGACATGAAAAGATGTGCAGAGAAACTGACAGGAAAAGATGTGCAGAGAAACTGACATGAAAACATGTGCAGAGACACTGACATGAAAAGATGTGCAGAGAAACTGACATAAAAAGATGTGCAGAGAAACTGACACGTAAATATGTGCAGAGAAACTAACATGAAAATATGTGCAGAGAATCTGACATGAAAAGATGTGCAGAGAAACTGACATGTATTGTTAATGGGGAAATTGATAAAGCTGTTCAAAGTGTTGGCTGATCCTAGCAGAAGGTTCCTTATTGCATTTTTCATCATGAGGCACTGGGGGAGGGGAGGGGGAATAATTTGGATTAAAATATATTTTTCGTGTGGAACCGTTGGTTTCAACTGAACTTGATTGGCCCCCTTGTCTTCAATCATCATCAGTTCCGCTCAGGCTGGGGGTGCCACTCTTCCGGATTCGTGAGGCTAACAATTTTTCAGCTCTGGATTTGCGAGTTTTTATTTTCTCTCCCTCCATATTTACTCCGTGAGTAACAATAATAACATCGCGGCCTGAACGGCTTTCCAAAATCGATAACATCTATTTTGCATCACAAATCATGATGAAATAGCGTGTTCAATGTACCGACAATGCATAAGAAATACCACCTGCTTCTTAACAAAAAAGGATTTGACTAATTCAAGTAGCTGCCAGGAGACCGAGAGCGCTTATTTTGATGACAATTATTGCTCACGCTGACATTGCTTCTATTTTAAGTGCTGGGTGGTTAGATGAGGATGTTGTTGACTTGTCTGGCATTATGTCAGTTCCACAAGATGAAAATAATAAATCAGCTACTATACCCATTGTTACAATAGAGCAACACCTGGCTACTCCATGGGAAGATGAAAGCAGCTAGAAACTATGCTACAATTGTCAGCTATATTGACAATAATCATATTAATAGTTCCACAAACAATGATATTTAGTCTTTAACAACCTATTTATTGATTCTGCTTTATAAAATTTAAGTGTAAAAACTTTTTAACTTGTTGATTTACAGGCTGAAGATGTAATAAAAACAATTTCCTACAATTATGTGTAATTAAAATAGATTAGCACAAAGTAAAATGTATTTATATATTTATTTATATTATAAATCATTTGGGGGGGGGGGGGTGGAGGGGGTATAAAATGTTGACATTATTACTTGGGGGGAGGGGTCATTGAAAGTTTGACAGTTGTTGACGGGAGGGGGGAGGGGGTAAAAAATTGCTTAAAAATTGTTGACGTAATAAAGGACGCCTCCATGTAAGGTAAAAAAAAAAATTAGGACGAAAAGCCAAAAATAAATATTTTAAAAAGGTTTTTAAGACTCAGAAAAATGTGCGATCTTGTGAACAACAACTGAACAAAGTTGTATCGCAGTCTCATGAATGGTGTAGGAGCGCATACCGTGGCATACGGGACATTGACATATAAATATACATACATTCATTTTTATGTATAATATAAGATGTATAGCATACTAGTTAGGCATATAGCTCACCAAACATTGGCGACAGCAATGCGTGTATTTCTCATCTACTAAAGTTACTTGACAAAACATGAACTTAAGTAACGCACATTTAAGAATCCCAATTTGCAATACACCCCTTCCCCCACTGCCCACTGCACACTACTTTTCTTTTTATTTCACGCCCATGAACTGTAATAATATTCTGTTGTCCCAACCACTTTTAAACCGAATATTTATTACACCATATTGAGCCGATTTCATTTTACGAAAACAAAATATTACGCACCAAAAGCAGTTGCGTGGGTAGTTTAAAAAAAAAAAAAAAAACATTTTCATTTAGCGTAGTCGTAGTTATCGGGAATTATATTTTGCGCGCTATCCGGAAATGGAAGCGGTCGCACCAAAATATACATGAGATAATAGATAAAGTGCGATTTTTTCTTTTTACTTTCGATTTTTTTTTGTATCCGTCTCCGGTCAGACAGTCGGTGGATTTCAATCATGAAATGAGTCGAATGTTTATACTTACACTAGTTCGCCAGTAAGCTTATCCAAGTTAATCTTAATTAATTTTTTTTTTTTGATGAAACGAAGTAATTCCAGATTTATTATTTAAATGACTACGAATTTGTATCTATATGCAAGTATAATGCAATAACTTTAATAAAGCCTTTACTTAGCTTTACTTTTACTACTTTATTAAAAAAGGTCACATAATTGAGAATGTTTATACTTACACCAGTTCGCCAGTAAGCTTATCCAAGTTAATCTTAATTAATTTTTTTTTTTTTTTGATGAAACGAAGTAATTCCAGATTTATTGTTTAAATGACTACGAATTTTTATCTATATGCAAGTATAATGCAATAACTTTAATAAAGCCTTTACTTAGCTTTACTACTTTATTAAAAAAGGTCACAAAATTGAGAATTCAGTACTGGAACGTGACTTACACCAGTTCGCCAGTAAGCTTATCCAAGTTAATCTTAATTAATTTTTTTTTTTTTTTTGATGAAACGAAGTAATTCCAGATTTATTGTTTAAATGACTACGAATTTGTATCTATATGCAAGTATAATGCAATAACTTTAATAAAGCCTTTACTTAGCTTTACTACTTTATTAAAAAAGGTCACATAATTGAGAATTCAGTACTGGAACGTGCCGGTATGTTACACTCACCACACTCCTTAACTTACACAGATGACCAGTCACTGTCTCTCCTCTCACTCACAGTGTCAGTCAGTCAATGTGAGTTATTCCGTGCCAGTACTCCCATTCTCAGTATTGAGTCAACAAAGGGTAGTATTGACTGACACAAGTGTATTACTATTATACAGTTTATTGTGATTCTTCCATGTTGATGACTAGAGTCGACTAAAGTCTAAAGACTAAAGAGTATTCAGTAATATTGCCTAGGTCAAGTAATACTTAATTATATATATATAAACTAGTACTACTAAACTAATATTGCACTACAATCATAACTTGTCACTGGCACTGCTTCTTCAATTACCGTATTAAATTATTAAATTTAACTTATTAGTCTTAGTACTAGTACTAATATAATTATATTAGACAAGGATGTAAGTGTAAGCAAGTACACACTTACTTCAATTAGACCTATTTTAATTTTATAATTTATGGGATTTGTACTACAGACTACAACTGTCATAAGTATATATATAATATATATATATATATATAAAGTACTTCGTCCTAGGTCATACTAGTCTTGTCTGGGAGAGTTGATGCGAGCGCTTTAAACGCAGCGTTTTCTGTTGACCAGAATGTCCTCAGGCGGGGAAACCTTCATCAACGAAATCCAAACAAGCTGTTGCGGGTGGGGGCAGTCCAGGTCTGGGGAAGTCCTTGGTGTGCCGCCGCACAGTCCGGGGTCAGGGAGACCCGGCGTCTGGACTGTGTCGAGGTGCGTTGGGGAGGGCATTAAGAGCTCATGCTCAACGGCCTGTCGACGCCATTTCCCAATGTGACATATATAGTAGTTTTGTCTGAGTAGTGTTACTTTAAACAGGACTGAGCTGAGGAAAAGTTTGAGCCCAGGGCGAAGCCTTAACTTAATATGGGGCTCTCCCCTCCAATTTTCATCAATAAATGATATATTATATAGTCCAACAAACTTTCTTTACCATAGCCTTTTCAACGAGTTCTTTTGAATCTTTCCTGTCATCTCTAACTCTTTCCAAATTTTTTATTCATTAAAAAAGGGTGTAGAAACTGTCACTTTAATCAAAGAGTTGGGGGGGAGGGGCAGAAAGCAAGGGAGTCAAAGATTCAGAGTGAAATTAGGAGCCCATCCCCGAAAATTTTTGATAGATGATTCAAAATGCTGAGATTAGAGAGCAACAAAAGAGATACTAAAGTCTAAAGGAAATTTAAATGTCCTGTGACCTGGTTGTGTTTATGAAAATCCTTTATTTTTTGTTGTTATTACATAGTAATGTTTTTTACAACTTCTATTTAAACTATTAATCTGTTTAAACTACATGATTTTTTTTTTTATTAGAAAAAAATCATATCATCAAATGTCAAATAAATACATATATGATTTTGGTTTCCCCTGGTGCTAGCGCCTGGTTTCTCTTTTACAAAATTAAGAATAAGTCTATTTGTGAATGATTTGGATTCTCACAATATCTATTTAGGTGGAGACTGCTTTGAGAAGTAAATGATACATCATACGCCTAGCACTAATATTAGATACCACGCTGCCCAAGTTTAATGTTGAATGGACCAGCAGGCTTTAAGTTTCATTTTAAATGTAATATTACTATATACAAAATCTCTGAATAACAATTTTAAACATATGCCATTTTTATATTACTAGTATGAAATCGTATTTGTCTCGTATACATAGGAAACTTTAAAAAACCAGTTACAAAATTTGGGAAAATGATATTACTTCAAAAAGTTTAAATTTTCATTTCAGTGGGGAAACCATGTCTAACAGAGACAGGATCATGCAAGGTAAGATATTTCTAACCTTATCATAATGTATAACAAGAGTTATAGACATAATAACATGAAGCAATTAAAACTAAGTTACAGAAGATGAAGACTGGGAGGGGGTATAATTTCAGAGTGATATGCTAGGGACAGTGGTGTGTTATTGCAGATATATATAATATATCTTTTACCTTGTTTGTAATTTTTTATTTCAAAGGTGGAATAGATTATTTATTTAAAAAGAAACTTTGGGAATCTTTCATTTGTTTTTGTATAAATATACTAATGGCTTGCTATACATTGTAATATTTAAACATGACTCTGTGTGTAAACATAATTGCAAAAATGGACAGTATACTTGGCAGTTATAAAAATAAATTATAAAATTTAAATCAAAATAAGTGAAGCAACAGTTTATTTTGGAAAAATAAACTTTGGGTCTTTCATAAAATTTTTATAACAATCTTTTAAACTAAAATACAAATTTAACTTATGTTTAGGTCAGCTCGACACAAAGCTATCTGACCTTGGACACACACAAGCCAAACTTGTGGCTGAACGTTTGCAGAATATTCAGTTTTTACTGATGTTCTCCAGTGACCTGGCCAGGGCTGCGGACACAGCAAGGGCCATTGAAAGCTGCAATACTGTGTCTACATGTGGTCTCATCTTAGACAAGAGACTAAGAGAAAGGGTTTGTCCATCCTCTTGATCTTTTATTCTTAGTAGAACCTTATATTGCACCTGATGTTAGGGCTATTGCCTTGATTAACAGTTTTTCATTTTCAACATCTCTGGGCTGAAATTTCTTAAGTTTCCATTCATTGTGTGGGCTCGTCATTGAAGTCATGTAGGGATGGTGGAGAGTGTCCCGCTAAACATGAGGAATAGTGGTTGTAGGCCCCCTGGACACAAATTAGGTTTTATGACTCCCAAAACATCATTACGCATGCAAAGTGTATTTATATCTATATAAATATATTGAGTGATGCCAATATTCATGTTTTGCCCAAGGCTGCAGCTTTTATTTTTAGCACTAAACTGGATGGATGTAGGAGCTTGATACTCATTAGGGGGCTAGACATAAATCATGCCAGGTTATTCTTAGCGGGCCCCCCCAATCCCCCCAAAATCACCTTAAATTTAATTAGTGACACCCACCCCCACCCCCAATGTGTGATGTCATTTATGGAGAAAGTTGGCTTTAATGTTGTTGTTTTTTAAATTTGAGTGCTATATTCTTGTTTTGTTGTTGGATATAAATTGTAAGTAGTGTAATATATTTTCTCCCTTTGCAAATAGTTTGTTATAAAAATTAGTTATAATAATATGTTAATTTGTGTAAATCCTCAGGAAATATATTTGGATAAATAACTTGATAACTTTCTTTGAGGACTTAATAAATTATATGGGCTAAAATATTTGCAGAATTCTACAACTTTTGAACATTTTCATAAGAAATAAATATTTTTTATACTTAGATTTTACAAATATTTATTTTCACTCATAATTTTTATTTCAAATATTTTTTTTTTAAAATTTGAACCAATGACTATATATTATAAACAAATATTTTACATATACAATTACAATAACGGGACCCAATTTTTATTGGATGTACCTCAAAAACTTTGTGAGTAACTGCTATTTAGTATTTGTATATGACAACTGCTTCATCAAATAGAAATGCTACAATACTAATAAATTTCATCTAGGGCTTTGGCTATTTAGAGGGCAAACCTCTGAGTGAGTTTAAAACTGCTTTGAGCGAAGCTAACGTGCCAAGTGAATCATTCACACCAGAGGGAGGGGAAACTATGGACGAGGTAGGGTGTTCTTGATAATGTGATAATTGTCACATTTTGATAAAACCTGCCTGTAATTATATTGATATACAAGTATTACCTTTATGAAATTATTATAAGTTTAATAAAGGGCATTCCTGGAGAAAAGGGTTTAAATATCACAAACTTGACAACCAACTTAAATTTTTGGTGTATAAAAACTTTTGATTCGATGCCTCAACATTACACGACAGATCATTTTTATATCATATCGAGTTGGATATTCATTTTTGAAAATTTTAAAATAAATGCTTCAAAATATTGGGGGTATATGGTTCGATAAAAAAAAATTGTTTAGAGATTTTTAAATAAATGCAAAATAACAGTTGTGTCCTATTCACCAAAAAATTCATATGAACAAATAAGCAAGTCTGAAAAATATTTAGTTATTTCTATTTCTACATACTTTAAATTGTTGATTGTGACATTCACTGTCAACTGGTGTTGTGAAGGTCAACTAGTTTGGGTTGTGGGACTAATAATACGATTGAAAATCACAGAATTGTCATCATGGGCATCGTTCAATGTATGTCGGATGAATCTCCCCTCCCCTTTCTCTTAAAAATTATAACCAGTATTGAGAGAAAAAACTAGCTCAACACAAGTAAAAGCGAAATTTATAATATCCAATTATGACTTAGCGAATTGTCTGACAATATTAAAACAATTTAATTATGTGAATCCTCTTAGTTTGTTAATAGCATTATTTATTATCCATCTGAATCTCCTGACAGTGACACCCCCAACCCCCCTCTTTATTAAAAAAAAACCAACCAATGGGTGCCCAAGATTATAATGTGATTTGGCAATGTTAATATCTTGTTGATTATTTGAATTATAGATATTCAATTCTGAATATTTCAGGTAAAATCAAGAGCTAAGAGCTTTTTGGAGGATCTTTTCCTGCAAATGTCAGAACTTCTTTATCAAGGTGTAAACATGTCTTCTATAGCACAAAACAGAGGCAAATCAGCATCAGAAAGGAGCAGTATTGGTCTTGATGGAGTAGAGTCTTCAGGTCAGCTTGATAAACTCAAAAGAAGAAAGTTTCCATCAAACTGATACAGCTAATTATTCATTCATCTAAATTCTAAATGCAATATTGGAGGGGTAAGGTGTGTAGAAATGTCCTTTGAGATCAATAATCTTCTTGTAACAAAATTATGTTGAAATCCAACACAATAATAATTATTCAAGACATTTTTAAGCTCATACTCATATTGGAGCCTACCTATGTTGTTTAAGATGGCCGTTATTACATTTCAAAATAATTATTATTCTTGTTTCAGTTGATATGATTGACTTCAGCATGCTTTCAACTAGGCAGTCTGACTTCAGTGAAAATTTAGGATCTAGTGGACTCTCAAATAGCACCAGAGCATCTGTTGACAGCAGTCAGTCAGGGGCCAGTTCACAGCTTCTCATTGACATCCCAAATTCAGAAGATCAAACAGATTCAAAAGGATGGAGAGTAACCCAAGCACCACAGAGGAATGACAGTATATTAACAGACTCAAAAGCTACACCAGCAGCCACCGCTGATCAGGGATCCAGTAGTGTTGCATGCACTGACCATGTCCTAGTGGTCAGCCATGGGCTGCTTTTACGTGAACTCACTCGTATCATTGTGGAGCAGTGCAAACTGAAAGGACCCTATGTGAAAGAGGCCTCACAGATAAGCCCCAACACAGGGGTGTCCAGCTTTTTGATGTCTATGAGCTTTAAGAAAAATAAACTGAGTGTGAAGTGTACATCGTGTCTGGCAATGAATGACACTTCTCACCTTAGAGCTAACTCTAAGCTGCTAATTACTAAATTTGAAGCTCTTTGATAGTCCTTTAGCTAGATGTCAGTGTTGTTGCAGTGCTTATATCCTATGTGATAAAGTGTTATAGATTAAATTAATTGGGTCATCCAAAGAATTTACATATTCACAAAAATATAAATGTATCATGATTTAATCCCTTCTCAATTTTCCTCCCATTATGTCAGTACAGCTTCTGGTTCACTAATAATGACATCTCAACTATGCTACATTTTTTAAATAAAAGACAATGAAGAGAGCAACTTGCTTGTGCATAATGTTCATAAAATTTTCTGGCTTCACAGCTGTACAGATTTCACCTATAGCACATTCCTCACTCAAATGATTTCTTTAAAAAAACAGCAGTTTTTCATTTTGTACCGGGTATTTGTTTCAACTTGTAGCTCTTTTTTTAATATTTTTTTATAGTAATCTAGTCCTGGACAACAGAATTTAATGTTCACTTTCTATCTGGAATGATTATTTGAACTTCTGTTTTGTACATAATTAAATGTTCAACCAAATGAAATGCACATTCAGATGAATGAGTGATTATTTCTAATTCTGATTATTATATTTTGTTATTAATTAAGTTTTTATAGTTAGCCCTTCTAGAAAGGAACACACAGAAATGTCCAAAAATAAATATTTTTATATTCGATCAATAGCTTGTTCTCAAAACATCAATTTAAAAAATAATAAAAGTTATTATTTAGTGCTAAGTCTATAACAGATAGGAATCTTTAAAAGTAGATATTGATATTTTAAATTATTATTAAATTGGGAAAAGTCCTAACTTGTGGTGCTTTCAATTTCAAAATAAGAAATTACAATGTTTTGTCAAAAGAAAATGAGGTAAAATGAAGATTTGATTATAACAGATTGAAAATTCTGTACAGTATTTTTGTCATTTCCATTTATGTTATTCATAGCATCAGCTTAAGTATAAAAAAAATAATCTACTTGGAAAATAAATTCTAAATAAAATTTTCAACATCAAGATCATACCCGTTAGTACAACATTACACTGGAGTGGAAAAAAGCAGCACTGTTAGGTCTATTATTATAAGACACCTATTGTAGAGATTAGACAGACATGCAGAGGGATTGGGTGAAGTAGCAGTGTAGATTAAATAGGTCACTTTTATTATCATAAGTAAGACACCACACTGGAATGGACTGAAGTCATGTATTATTAGTATTATTAGATTTATAGTTGTTAAAACTACTTTGGAGACAGAAGTCAAATACCTCAACTCAGTGTTGCTCAGGTCTCTTACTTTTTTAATTAGGGCTGCTGAATGGATCGGATGAGTTCTAGGTAGAAGGTTTTTATTTCACCAGTAGGAATACTAACTGTTTTAGTTAAAGAAAATACATGACATATTTTCAAATCCAGCATGTCATCTCAAAGCTACAGGTACACCACATAAAGTTCAAACACACGCCTCAGTATTTTTTACATTTTAAAGCATTTCTATGTGTAAAATTTAATAGGTATGCAACTTAACGGGAAGAGGTCTATTTGGATTTAAAGAGTTGAAATAATTGTTCAAATCTGATTTTTGTGACTCATGTTTGTCTACCTTGCCTTGGTAGTCATAACCAACAGCTGACTACAAAGGGAAATTTTATGACTAATTATTAAATAATAAATAATAGCAAATGGGAAGCACATTTAATGCATAACATTTAATGCATTACATCATATAAATATGAATTCAATAATATGTTTGTTAAAAGTAACAGATGGTAGTTTATTCCAAGTTCATTACTAAGTCTCTGTAAATTAGGATTGCTTTGCTGAACTGTTGACGGAAATGGTTTTAGCATCAATTTAACAGATAAAATTTATTAAAAAAACAGACCTTATTAACTCTGTCGGACTGGACTCCAAACTTTCCACCAAATCCTTTCTTAACATCCGTTTGGCTGGCATGAGTCGCAAGATCCTCATTAACTACCACACAACAACAAAATCTTTATCCCAATGAGATCTTAAAAGTTGATTTACTAGATAGATATTTTAGGACATCTGAGCTCTGCTTTCTTATCCTATGGCACGGCATAGAATTACAAAAAATAGAGACGAATGGAGGAGGATAGTTCACATGTCATCTGTGGCGCCCCAATGGTTCAAGGAATAAGGGACTTGATGATGATAATGAAACTGCACAAAATTCATGTGTGGCAGTTAACCTTGGAAAAAAATTGTTTGATCTTGGTTTTTTTTTGCTACTAATTTTAATTTTAATAAAATGGTTACCATTCCAATTAATTGTTTTTCCCGAAGAATTCGATTTTGACCATTCCCAAGTGTACATTAAAATTTTGTGTAAAAATAGGTACACGTTTCTTTTCCTTTTTCCCCCCAGCTGTAAGAAGTTGAAGCAGTCATTCTGTAAATGCTATGATATGCATTAAACTAATATTTAATTGACCTTTATTTGTAAAGAGTTCGTACTAGCAGTCATTTACAATCAAAATGACTATTTTTAAAAAAAATGCATATTAATAATTAAGTAAACCTATTAATAATTAAGTAAACCTATACAGTAACTTCAGGCTCAAAACAATTTCATTTATATTATTTATTCATTACAGTCATGTAACATGTTCAAAATTAATGCTTTTTAATCCATAAAATATCTGCAGACAGAACTACTTATCTTTAAAGTACATACACATTATATACTAATATAAGCACTTCCACTAGGAATTGATTCCTTTTAAAACTATCAGAATAATCAATGTTGCAGAAAACTATGAGTTTGAGATCAGTTAACAATAGTAGCAAACTATTCAACTTTGGATGTGACAGAAAAAGCAACAGCTTGCCCAATTTACGTTTCATTAGTTGCAAAACTTTTCTTAATGCATGCAAATTGCAAGAATAAACTGAGTAGTAAATTCTGCTCCATCCAAATTTCAAGACTACATGTATGCTACTATTCACAGATCTCTTATCATGAAATAACTTATTTACTTTTTAATCAGGCACACAGAAAAAATAATTAGTGGTTGGAATGTTGGTTAAGAGAAATGACTCCACCAAGCTTCTTTTTTTTTTTTAATAGAATACCAGGTACAAATCATGTTGAAATCAGACTTGGCTCATCACTGTTGTATCTTCTCTCAAGGGCACATAAGCACCAGATTGGGGGGGTTGGGGTTAATACAAAATTTATATTAAATTACATCATATATTTAAAACAAAATTATATCATTTGTAAAAGATAGGTGGTCAGCAACCAGATTTTTTTTTTGCAAAAGGAAAAAAAACAAAACATTTAAACTTAAATAGCATGAAGAATACAAACTGACTGCCCTATCAACAATCAGTCAATAGTCACTTTAAAATAATTATTTCACTAGAATCAGATTTTTATTAGCCTCGTAAGTAAATTATTGAAAATTCAACTGAAAAAAAAATACTGATGGAAATAACAAGGCATTTAAATACTTTATGAAGGCCACATCTCAATTTATGTTTATATTTTAAGGCAATAAAAAAAAATCATTCCACGTTTTAAAGTGACCAATTATTACTTTATTTGTTCATGTTGACAACTTCCTTTAATTTAGCTCAATAAATACATAACTTTGTTTTGAGTCTTAAAAATTATAGAAACAATTTACAAAACTGCAGTATCATTTGTAAAGCAAATAAAAAGAGACCCAGTTAAGATTTAGAAACATAGGCAGATGTTCAGCAAATGGGAAATACATCTAAAAAAATGTATTTTCCAATTCATTTCTTAATGCAAAAGGTCACAAAAAATAATTCACCACCTATCCAGGCAGAGGTCCCTAATTAGTGTATGTATGCATATATGTGTATAAATAAATGTATATAAAATGCTCTTACATTTTTTTTTACACTCGGCCATGCATTCAAGTATGGTAACATTAAATAAAATATAGCTCATGCTAATGAAAGCTGCATATTATGATCACCTCAGGTTTATTAACACATGCCCATTTAAAAAAAAAGCACGTAAAGTGACGCCGTGCCACGTAGACAATGTTTTATAGAATGTTAAAAAATTTGATATTTTAATTATAAGAAAAAATAAAATTGTTATAAAATCATTATTTCATGAATTGTGTTTTGTAGTAACAAATCAAAATTATTTTAATTTCCAGATTTTCAGTGCCCAAACAACAATACAAGTTGACTAATCTGAGACCAAAAATGAACTAGCAAGATTAAAAATTACTTATCAAACTTTATGTACCCCGGTAACACTTTTTGGCACTTGAAAGGCCATAACAACACCATGCAAATTCTAAGCAATTATATCATTTTTTTGTATGGTAATTTTGGTGATACATGCAACCGATTAAGCATTGGAACAGAAAAATCTCTCATTCAATTTGTTTTTTCTCTTGTCAACAATGAATGTATAGCTTGTAATAGAAAAAAATAATGTTTTTTCTATTTTGATCAAAACACTTGAGCCACTAGCACTCAGTAAAATATACAACGTTGTTTTCTAAAAGGATCAAATGGGAGTCTCACTGCTCATTCATTTCTTCATGCCATGAATTTCATGTAGTTATTTATTTCTGCAACAATTCAACATAGTTAGCGGGGAATAGACCAACAGCTCCTCTGCATTTACCTCTCCACCAACCATCGTCAACCTGTAAAAATACAATGTTGACAGTTGATCTCAAATTATATGATAAATCTTATAATTATATACTTGTAAAAGCATTATATATTATTATTTAAAATTACAACACATTTTGTATCATGCAGATTGTATCTAAATTTAAAAAAAACAGCTAATCATGGGCAATAATGGACCTTGCACTTACCATCTCAATGTCCTCAATGATCTCATCTGGGTCAAATGTTAGCTCATCCTCATCAGCTGGGGAAGGGAGAAATTAATGCATTATATAATTTGATAAGGGGTCCAAAGTTGTAATCTAGAGAAATCATTATAAATACATAGTTGGCTATTTTAAATTACATACCATTTTATTTAGAATATTAATTCAAAAACCCAAATAAGGAACCAGACAATATACACACAAACACAACCATTAAAAGAAATAAAATTTTAGGTAACAAATAAATAATATTTCTTATGACAATTACAGCACTTTTAACATGTGATTTTCACATTACACTTAAATGAAGGACACAACCATGATTTTTTTTGTTTGAGAGATTGGCGCTAGAGTATAGACCCCTTCTGGGGATTAAAAACTTACTTGCTGCATAATCATACAAAGCGATAGCTCTCAAACCATCGCCACCGCCACCTGCTGGTTTCTGAGGCTCGGGCTCACTTGTACTGTCAGGCTCTTGCGCAGGTTGGTTATACGGGTCGTCCTCCGTGTGGTCATCGTACACATCAGGCTCTGGTTGACTGAATTTGGGGGATTCTGGGGGCTGAAACCTCGGAGACTCTGGCACAGGCTCATTGTATGTGTCCTGTTCTTCTGCCTGGTTGTACACACTCGGCTCAGATTCCCCTTGGTTATATTCAGCTGGCTCCGATTCCCCCTGGCTGTATTCAGCTGGTTCTGTTTCCCCCTGGTCATACGCACTTGGTTCAGGCTCAGCTTGCTTCTTTTCACTCTCCCACCTTTCTTTGTCTAGCCTGGCCTTTGCAACCAAAATAAAACAAAAATAAAGAGAAAAAATAAACATTTATAAAATGAATGAATGAACACTTGTCAAGGAAGGGATACATATCATACAATAAGTTCAATATCAAGAAGATTTTTCAGACACATGTATAAAATATGATATAACAAAAATTTTCGTTCATTCTACTTTTCTAAATTATTTCTTTTAAAGTGTTAAAAATAAATGAAGAGACAATAGTTCTTGAGTGCTTTTGCAGTAAACTCTTTAATTAGCTGAAATATTATTTTATTACAAAATTTTTGGCATTGACATATTCTAGTCTTCTGCAATCATGTGATATTTTAATTAATTAGTATTGAAAAGAAAAACATTTTTTATGTTTCTACAAACTTACTTGTCTTTGTTTTTCTTGTTCTTCTTTTTCTTTCTTTTCTCTTGCTTCTCTTCTCTCTCTCTCTTCCTGGGTTTTTTTCTTAGCTTCCTCATCCCCAGATTTGGCAATTTGTTCAAATCTTGCTTTCAAATTCTTTGCTCCTTCAGTGCCTGCAAAGAAAACAAACAAACAAGAAAAACAAATGAAAAATATAAACAATTTTTCCCTATTTGAGTGAGAAGTCAGGATTTTATAATTAAAATAAAAAACATGTTGAAAACTGAAGTATTTGCTACACAAATAAAAAGTTGAAAAATCACTTGTCTTTTGAGAGGTCAACACTTATCTTTTGACATGTCCAAGCTTTTGCCACAGAATCAACTTACTTTTGTCAGCCTGAGGTCTCTGATAGCCAGACTTCACACCTCCCATGTCTTCAAATGAACCTGCAGACTGGCACCACAAATAAATTATTTCCATCATATTAGAAAACAAAAGGCTCTCAAATTTTATTATTTTACACATTCCAAAGAGGATAAGTTAATTCCATTAAAAATCTCCAGTCAGCACCAGGACATGCATAAAATCATATTCTCTCAGAAGTAAAACAGATGCACAGTTAAATTTTTTAAAAATCCATAGGATTTATCTACTGTTAGGGAGGGGGAAAAAAGAAGATACTTACCTTATCTTGTCTATCTGATTGCACCCCAAACTTGCCCCCAAAGCCCTTGTTGTAATCTGTGCAGACAAATGTTTTCAATTTAAATATGAATTCAGTTGAAAGACTGCAAAATGTTTCGAAATTTACAATATTGCAGAATTGGTATTTATTTTTAAGGACTAACAAATTATTCTTTTAAAAGGGAAACAAATGGATTTTTAAAAAAATAAGTTTTTGCCAATATCTCTGTAAATTTTCATTATTAAAGGTTTCTGAAAAGGACATTTTTTTTATGTCAGGACAAGGTCTGAAAGATATAAAAATTCTTTTGTTCCCCAATCTGTACGGATTTACCAGCGTGCACCCCTGAAGTCACAAATCTTAATGAGAAATAATAAATCCCTGATATGGCTAAGAGAACTCACTGAATGGCTGCTTTTTTTTAAAATTATAAATGTCTTGTGTTCAAATTGTTTTATTTATGTGCTGAAAATGTACAATGCAATCATAAAACATTTCCATTTGTTGGGAACAATAAAAGAATCTTATCTTATACTTTAAATTAGTAGTTAGCTGATAGCATGTTGATAACAATGACTGAACATTTCGAACTGACACACAGACCACAAACCTTTCTGGGATTCATGCTTTTCCACCGTCTCTTTATGGTCATAGCCTACTGCAGATTTATCCATATGGTCAGTCTGTACCCCAAATTTTCCCCCAAAGCCTTTGCTGAAATCTAGTGGGTGGGTGGGTGTCAAAATGCATGAGTGTTAAATTATTCTCAACAGCAAACCAAGACACAAGGTGCTAAGCCATGAGTTAGTATTGAGCTTGAAAAGTAAAGAATACTTTATATTTTCCAACATCAAGTTTTGATGATGTTCAAAGGATTGACACTTTTAAAAACAATTTATTCCACTTCACTTCAACACAAATTAAAGAATATCAATTCTATTATTGTAAAAGCACAAAACATGTTTGAGGTTATCAAAGATGACATGAAGTTGTTGATGAACATTTGGACATATTCAAATAGAGAAAATAGAAGGGGGGCGAGACAGGAGGTTTGATATGGAGGGGGGGAACAACACAAATCTACACGAGTTTGCTGTAGAAATTTAATTATAAAGGGATTGCAAGTTGGGAACCTTTCTGAGACTCATGAAGTTGAAGCTTTTCCTGGTAGTCATATCCCACCGCCGACTTGTCTTGTCTGTCGGATTGAACACCGAATTTCCCACCAAAACCTTGACTGAAGTCTGGTGGTAAAAGGCATTGGGGTGCGGTCAGGTTGGGAAAATAGAGGTTTATAAGTGAATGCAAGGTACCCAACAGATCATCCATTTAGCTGCTTTATTGAAATGTTTTAGTTATATTTTTTTTATTACATTATGAATAATCCTCTTATCGCTTTTTGTTAAGAATATGGGGCTCAAGATTAAAAAACGTGAATGCATTTTTTGTTTCACTCAAGCAATTTCTATTACTTCTGAAAAATCTTGGAGCCTTTAATTGTGTAAAGAGGATGATATGCAGGATACATTTCTGTGAGTGTGATTGCATTGAAAATGAATTTAAAACAACAGCCATTAAAGTTGATGAACCTTTTTGAGACTCATGAACCTGGAGTTTCTCTTGATAGTCGTACCCCATGGCCGATTTGTCTTGCCTGTCTGTCTGGACTCCAAACTTGCCACCAAAACCCTGACTGAAATCTGTGCAGGGGTGGATACAATGGGGAATATTAGGGATGGAGGAATGGTAGGTACTTTCAACAGGAGTATCTTTGAATTCTACTAAGTTGTTATGATTATTGGTGGGTTAATTTTTAATTTTTTTAGTCACTTCAAGAAATAAATATATTTAAAATTTGCATTAACAAGTACTTCAAATAAGAAATGATCTAGAAAAATCAAGAACTCAAAATGTAGTATTAAATTTAAATAATGAAATGAAATACTTGAAATAGAACTCAATGTATTCAAATATATATGGGAACAGACAAATCAAGCAAATAAACATAAATTAGAGATTAAAGAATTAACCATCAAATTTAAAACTAAATTTTATATCTAAATTAATTTTGTGTGTCAAGTGAGTGGAAATGAAATAAATAATCAAATATCCATGTCATTAAACATTAGCCTAAAATGTTCTTACTTAATGGAAATAAATTCCTTATTTTTATTTTCTCTGTTATCCTTTATACAATGTAAATTTAAAAATAAATCTATAAAACTTAATAACTTTTTTATTTTCTATGAGTAAATTAACAAATGGTGACATTAAATCTATAATAACTTTTCACTGGAGAATTTTACTAATGATAACTGGATGTTTGCTCTGCAAAGGTGTTTTTAGCCATTATTATATTACACTCTTAAAAGCAAAAATAGCTAGTTACAGTCACAAAAATTGTTTAATTTATGATGCAAATTAATATGAAAATTATAAAAATTAAGACATGCGATAGCATATTATTTATACATTTTTTCTCACTCTACCAAATATTTAGAAATGTATTTAGCTGAATTTTCTAGATATTTTAGTGAAAATATCATCCAGACCAATAGTAAGAAAATATATCTCCATATTCATTTAAACACTACATGTCATAATTTGAAAACATGCCAAAGCTGGTCAAACACAAATGCAAAAAAAATAAACTTAAAAAGGCATACAAAGAAACAATAGGATTTGATCAAAACCAGATGCCAGCTAAAAGCAAGATTGAAATACTATAAGGTGTGCTCAGAATATTAAATCACAACAACACCTTAACATTTAGCAAGTCAAACCTTTCTGTGAGGCATGTTTTTCTGTCTTTCCTTCATAGTCCCACCCAACAGCAGACTTATCAACTCTATCCTTTTGGACACCGAACTTTCCACCGAAGCCCTGAGAATAATCTGTAAAGAATAACGACAAGAGGGGAATCTTGATCTAAAGTTGGGCACACCAATGCGGCGCCCAGCAGGTCAAAATTGTCATGCGGCGCCCAGCAGGTCAAAATTTTCACAGGTAATCTGCTGCTCCAATCCAAATTTTGATTAATAATGAAAAATGAGTGGGAAACAAATTTTCCGTGGCAGAGGGTAATAGGTAGGCTGTAGTCATATATGTCAAGTGAAGGATCTGCCAGTAAGTACTAATTTGCTTTACTGACTAAACCATGCAGGCAGAAAGAAAATTAGGAATAATTTAGAGGTTCTCTGGCAGATATCTTTTAAAATAGTTGATATACCATTTTGTGATTTCACTTATGATCCAGAGCACTCAATGTTGTTTGGGATAAAATTTAAACTTTTCAGACCACAAGAGGTATTCTCTTTTCATGACACTGAGGAGTGTTAATGCTAATTTTGTAGGCAATATAAACAGAAGGTGAAAAGAATTCTAGATGAAACGGGCACCCAGAAAACTTATTCACAAAATTTAAAAAGCCCTACTTTTTTTTTTTTTTTTTTTACATCCTGTAGGAGTGCAATGTGGATAATGTTACATTTTTTAGGAAACAGAAACTGAATATTCCAACACTGAATCTTTACTTTTGTCATTTTTTTGAATCTTTACTAATGTCACATATTTAATGTAACCTGGTTTGGGTGGCGTTAAAAATAATTTAAGACGTAAAATTATGGTCCATTACCTCAACATCATGCAAAAGGGTCAAATGACATGCATAGATGTGTATAGATATATAAATATGTATAAAAATAAACACATATTAGAATAAAGGTTACCTGAAATGATAGATAAAGCTAAAAACTGTGAATCAGCTTGTAATGGAAAAGATGTGACTCAAGGTCATAAGAAGGGTGACTGTGAGAAATTGTTGGTGAGAAAATATCTTTGGTGAATACAAATTTTCTGCACAGTTCCTGTGCTTCACATTTGTCCAGGTCATCTCTTAGAAGGAAAGTAGTTTAAAGGGAGAACAGACATGCGCCTACCTGTTTGGGATTCGTGTTTAGGGACATTTTCTTTGTGTTCATAGCCAACAGCTGATTTATCCACTCGGTCTGTTTGCACCCCAAATTTACCACCAAAACCTTTGCTGTAATCTGGAAAGTATCAAACAACATAAAAATTCACTCCTCAACTTGTACTGAATTAGTTCTAGCATAACATATGAAGATGTCTCATTAATATTTCAACAACAGTTTACTTTCATTTCATTGTTGTCAGAGTTGAAGATGTACAGATAAACAATCCCAAGATGAATGGGAAGTTCTGCAAAATAAATTCTTTAAGTACATCTCCTCAAATTTTTTGTTTGCTTTTGCATAGCAAGGAATTCAGACAAAACTTTAATATTAAATGTCATGAAGCTATTCAAGCTGCTACATTCCTGCTCTGATTGTTTCAAGATTTCCACAGCTTTCTTTGGTCTCAGACTTATTTAAATTAGATGTGAAAAATATTTTAAATACAGTAAGTAAAAAAAATACAGTAGGTACATGGGGGATGACATATTTTCAAATCCAGCATGTCATCTAAAAGCTACACCACATAAATTCAAATACACGCCAAAGTAATTTTTACATTTTAAAGCATTTCTATGTGTAAATTTAATAGGCGTGCAACTTGACAGGAAGAGATCTATTTGGATTTAAAGAGTTGAAATAATTGTTCAAATCTGATTTTGTTTTAAAAAAAAGAACCCACCTTTTTGAGACTCATGTTTGTCTACCTTGCCTTGGTAGTCATAACCAACAGCTGACTACAAAGGGAAATTTTAAGACTAATTATTAAATAATAAATAATAGCAAATGGGAAGCAAATTTAATGCATAAAATTTAATGCATTACATCATATCAATATGAATTCAATAATACATTTGTTAAAAGTAACAGATGGTAGTTTATTCAAAGTTCATTACTCAGTCTTTGTAAATTAGGATCGCATTTGCTGAACTGTTGATGGAAATAATTTTAGCATCAATTTAACAGATAAATTTTTTTTTTTTAAATGACCTTATCAACTCTGTCGGACTGGACTCCAAACTTTCCACCAAATCCTTTCTTAACATCTGTTTGGCTGGCATGAGTCGCAAGATCCTCATGATAATCATGGCCCACTGCTGACTGGAAGACATTAATTTATTAGGTTAATGGCACAAGTTAAAAAGTTAATAAAGAAAACATTTCTAACTTTGAATGTCCTGTGAAATGCAAATTTATACAATTTGAAATCATCCAAATTAGTTATCATTGTTCATTAGGTTGTTCAATTATTTAAATTGACAATAATTCAAATATTACTTAAATAAATTTTAAAATGCTTAAACCTAAATTGACTCACCTTGTCCATGCGATCCTTCTGTACACCAAATTTTCCGCCATAGCCTTCAGAAGCTTTGGGTCCCTGTTCAAATTCTTTTAATTTGTTTTCCTTGTCATCAACTGATACTTGTTCCCTGAGCTGCTTAAGACTACAGAATAGTGTAGAAAATATTGCCAATTGCGCAAAAACAAAGTTTGAAAACCTGATAAAAAGAGCTGTTATTATTTTGTTCTTGTAACAAAATGATATAAATCATTAAAAAAATATTTTTTAAGAGCCAGGTAAAGTTTGTCAAGTCATGAAAAGGACTAAAATTACTTATTGTCTCCCTTCTCACAAACTACTTTTAAAAATTTGATATGCTTAGAAATTTGTTTACAAAGAAATTTGTTCGAAGTGAATTTTGTTCAAAATGAAATAACGTAATGGGAGTTTTATTTTTTATCTAAAAGTTTAAATTTTCCCCATCTCTCCCTTGCACATACAATTATTTTAAGCAGAAATAAATCTTTGTTTAACAATTTCATTTAGATCAATATTCTATCCAAACAATTTTCCGTCTAACAAATTTCTTTCGAAAAAAATTCCATATATGATTCAAATGTATTTTAAAAAAACGATGTTTGGTTGGGAAAAAAAAAGCTTTAAGTTATTAACATATAAAATAAACCATAGCTTAATTGCTTCATACAAGCATAAATTTAAAAAAAAGTTAACATTTGTGCTAATAAATTAATTATATAAAAGCCAGTCTCATCACTTTCTTATTATGACATATGAAAGAGATATAAATAACATAAAAGTATAATAAATAAAGAAATTGATTTCACACACTTTAAGGAAGCTTGATGACCAGAGCCTTCCACTGTTTTTGAACCCCATCTCTGCTCTTGTTCTGATACATCATTCTATTAAGAAAGAAAAACTGCTTTTAAACAAATACAGAACTTGGATTTTTTAAAATTTTATATTTTAACTTTGGAAGTGCTGAATTGCAATGTTCTGTGTTTAAATACTACACTGCAGTGCATCAAATGTATATGGCCCAGTGATTCAATAAAAACAATAGTTAATTTTTTACTGATGAATTAAGGGAAAACTAAAACAATTTTCTTTATTTAATTCTATTATTTAAAAAAAAAAAAAGAGATTCTCACAACAAAGTCAGGATCAGTCTCCCACTCATCATCTCCTTGGCTTGTTGCTGGTGGAGCTTTGGCTTTCACATCTCTACCTGCACTAGCTTTCCACATGTTGGAAATCTTACTTGATGTTTTAGAAATGAATTAAAATTATTTTGCTGACAACTCAAATGACATGTCAGGAAACTGAAGAGTATGTAGTAGAAAATAGTTTGATATATGACTGGTGTTTTGTGGAGAGAATACAATAAAAAAAAAAAAAAACAGTTGTACAGAGATCTTAAAAAGCTATGAAAATTACAAGTAACTCAACTTGTTAGTTTGAAATTAAAATTATTTTGCTGAAAACTCAAATGACATGTCAGGAAACTGAAGAGTATGTAGTAGAAAATAGTTTGATATATGACTGGTGTTTTGTGTAGAGAATACAATAAAAAAAAAAAAAAAAAACAGTTGTACAGAGATCTTAAAAAGCTATGAAAATTACAAGTAACTCAACTTGTTAGTTTGAGTAGATTTTAAGAGTGACATCTATTTTATTTGTTGCTTGTCTTTGTAATCATGCTTAATCCACACTTCTTGTTCACAGAAAGAATTTATCTACTTAATATTTAAATAAATGAAACATGGTTGAACACTTTGATTTTTTTTTGCTACTATTAATATTATATAAAAAAATTTCTTCAAATATTGGTTACATGGTTTATTTTGCATTTACATAAATAAGACACATCACTTAATTTAAACACACTGAAGTTTTTAAATAATAAAAGAATGTATTTATTAACTGATATTTTACGACAAATTCTTTTTTAAAATGTTACCCACTAGTCTCCTTAACTATAGGCAAGATTTTAATCAACCAACATAAGTTTAAAAAATGTGATATTTCTTGCTAATCAAAAGTTGACCAATGATTATTTAAATTTTTTTTTTTTAGCACAACGCCTAATAAAATTAGCTCAATGAAAATGATTTGGTCACTGGATCTGCTTCACTTTAATTTATAAGTAATGGTACTTGGAACTCAAAATTTAATTGTTTCTTTATAGTACTTAGAAAAGTTCCTTTTCACATTTTGATTTGAATAATTTTAAATATATTTTAAAATCAGCCTAAGTTAAAAACAAATTAAATTTTTAAGACACTTCACCATAATTTAATAAGATATAAGAGATTTAACATCATTCATAAATGATAAAGGCCTTATGATAAAAATAAATAGCTTTAACTCAAGGCATACTTTACAGACTCCTACTCAATTCTTTTAGCAATAGTTAATGAACTTATAGAGGGCTTGAACTTTAAATTAGACTAGGCCTACTAATTTACATGTTTAATAGCAAGATGGGTTTTAAAAAAGAATCATCTCACTTTCAGGAATCTCAACTACCAACATAAGGTGAATAATTGGGCCCAAACAATGTGTTTAAATTCCCCATCTTTCACAAAGCATTATTCATACCATTACAATAATATGACAATCTATCTTTCACAAAGTATTATTCATTCATTACAATAATATGACAATCTATAAAGTTTATATAAAATATTCAAATAAAATGTTACATTTCTTTTTATAAATAAAATTCCTCTTAAATTTAAAGTTACAAGGTTCAAAAGAAATTTTTCAAATGATCACCAGTAAAAGAAAAAAAAAGTTGTGCCCATGGGCATGGTTGGTTGAAAAGGAAGTATACCATTCATTTCAATCATGTTACCATTTTATGGTACATTTTAACATACTTTTCTTAGACAAAAATATAAAAAGAGTTAACTATTTTTATATTAATATCCTGATAAAATTTTATTTATGGCTTTTTTTTTTTAATTAATGTTTCAAAGCATGATTAATTATATAATACTTAAAATCTATGATATTTTGGATTCTATTTTTTGTGGAACTGAAATAAAGTATGTAAAAGTGTGTTCAGTGAAAAAGTAAGTTGGGCTTTCATTATTTTGAAAACTAAAAAAAAATGTTGTAACCTTTTTATTAAAACTTACAATTTTCTCACTACAGTATGTAACTGTAACACAAGAACACATGGTTTTTAGGGTTCACGTTAGGTCTTAGATTTTTAGGTTTGAAGATTTACACTCAAGATAGGGGATACTAAATTTTGGTTTGAAGATAACACTTGAATTAGGGATACTCATTTTTACACTCAGGACATTAAGCATTCAGGTTAGGTTAGAGTTCTAAGCTATTGTCTAAAATGTTTTTCAAAAATAAAAAGCAATTACACTTACATGATTTTTGAAAATTCTGAATGTTTTTTTTACAATTAAAAATGCTTTCATTTTTCACTTTCTTTTTTCAATAAATTATTGAATGTTCTTTAAAATAATAATTTTTTTTGAGTACAGCTGCATAGAAGGCTCTGCATCGGAATATATTAAAGAACTGATTTATAAACATGTATCCTCAAAGAACCTGCGGCGTTCAACACAGTTCTTACTTAAAATTCACACGCACTGAAAGAGCGCACTCCGTAAGACATTTTTCTGTGTTCAGAACACAGAAAAATGTCTTACGGAGTGCGCTCTTTTGAAGCGCCAAAATTATGGAACAGTTTGCCTCAATCTTTGAGGAGAATTGAAAATGATAAAAAATCATTTAAGAAACATTAAATTTAAGAAGACCAGAGAGCATCCTAAAGTAGCATGGACACCAGCACTATATAAATATCCAAACAATCAATAAATACTTTTATTGGGCTTGGGAGGGGGTCCTAGATCAAAATATGAAATGAACTGGCTGAGTTTGAATTGAGCCTAAATTATGCTTAAATTACTGTTACTAAATTAGCTGTAAGGTTTGGAGTATTATTAAACTTAAACACTAACGCTAACCTAAACACTTTTAACAGTAATAACGGTACCCTAATAACACTTTCTTCAAAAAATAATAATAATAAACTTCCCTAGGCCTAGTAGTAGTAGTCCTAGTTGTCTAGTATAGTCAGGGTAGTTTTTAAAACAATAAAATATTCCATTAAAATTCTTAAATATTCAAAGAGGAATGTCATTCTTAAATTAATTCCTGTTACGCAAAAAGTCGAGTTTTATTTCGTTCATGAAATCTTTTATTAGCAACATTTATACCAAATATTCTTACCCGGTTACTACTAAGTCTAAGTGTTCAGTATTATCAACTTGAGTTCACTTCCTTGTTCTCGCCTCTTCCGGTATAGGTCATGTGACTTTCACTTCCGTTGAAACAGAAAGAAAAAAGTAATTTTAAAGAGACATTAATAATCAAAGTTAACACATGAAAGTAATAAGAAATATAAAATTTTAATGCTGTTAACACAAAACAGCATTTCCCTTTGCAGATTCTCCATTTCATCCAAAGTTGATGTAACACTATTTTGGCACCCCCTCCACATCACAATGGAGTAGCAAGGGTGAGTGACACCCAGGGCGGGCAAAGAATTTTGCCTCCTGCGCTTCTGCCTCATCGACACAAATTTGTCAATTTTTTACACCTTCTAATTATATAGTCACATATTCGTTACCATCCCCGCTAGATGCATCACGTCATTTATGAATGGCCTTCCAAGTGGCGCAAATTGGGGATTTTGATCATCCATCAAAATAAATTTCAAGAGAAGATATATGGATCAATGGGTCCTTTCTGAATATGCCAACATATTCATGGAAAGCGAAAGCTGCATCTATAGCAAAGACAGATTTTAATCACCCTCTTCCCCCAAAATAAATATCAAAGCACATATTTTGCATGAAAATGCCTCTCTTTGAAGTCGGAAATTGTCGACCGTGATTGGTAACCCTTCTGCACCGTACTTCACTCTAATTATGATCAATAAATAGAAAGGTATGATAAGATTTTCTCCGTTCCGCGAGAGCGGAAGCGTCTCCAAAGAAACTTGGGGGCGCCCACATGGGGTTTGCCTCTTCGTGGCGTGGCGGACTAGTAGGGTTGACTTGTCCACCCAAAGCCAAAAAAAACCCCGGCCGGCCACATGACTCCCAACGCAACGGGAGTAATAACGCAATAACATGATTACTTGTTGCCGTTAATGGATATGAGGCTCGGGTGGCGGTAAAAACCCATGCCAATGATTTTAGCTATGCAGCCGTAAGAAAGCTACGCTAAGGCGACCATTTCGTCCCAGCTTCTCGTCCCGATCGAAAGACTCCAATACGATATTTTTAATCGAATACTGATGCCTTTAACCCAGGCCTGCACAACTCATAATGTAAGGCGGGCCGTAATACTTTATGAAAAAACTTGTGCGGGCCATAATACTTTATGAAATGCTTGTGCGGGCCGAAAGATGATAGGACAGGGGAGGAAGCTATTAAGAAAATAATAATAATAAAGAATATTTCGTTACTTCGCGGGCCGCCAAGTGGGTGCTTTAACCGATTACAATTAGTAGAAGCTATAAATTATCGCTACGCTCGATATATTTGATGATCCATATTTAAGGCTCATCTTTTTAAAGCAGTGGTTCTTAACCTGGGTTCGATCGGACCCCAGGGGTTCGGTGAGTCATTCTCAGGGGTTAGGCGGAGGTTCAAAAAAAGAACAGAAAAAAAAAATCGTATTTCATTTTTTTTTTTAAGAATGGTTCAGTGAATGCGCCTATGAAACTGGTGGGGTTCGGTACCTCCAAAAAGTTAAGAACCACTGTTTTAAAGGCTTACAGTATTCGATTAAAAATATCGTACTGGCCGCTCTTAATTAAAAGCCGAAGTCTTACTTCATGTTTTTTCACGTATCGGTATTTTTATTCATTTATTTTTTTTCAACTTCATGAATTTAAAGACTTTTTATAGCACTGTATTAAACTACCTTTAAATCAATATCAAGGTCTACAATTCTAATAATAGCTCTTGTTAAGCATCAGACACACACAATATATTTTCAAATGATATTTCATTATAAAAATAAAAGCATTACTTTTTAACTAGGGTTGGTGTAAATTGACTGTAAATATTTTAAGTTAATTATAAATTGTATGATGGCATTTGACTTTTAAAAAATATTGTTATTAGCATAATTATAAATGTACTCCATTCCATGAATGTTGAGCTATACAAAATGGAAACTTAAAGATAATGAAATATTTTTTTATTTTTTTTAAAATAACAATTTAACGTTGGCCTTCAAATAGTGCACATTTCATCAGTTATTGTATCGAATGCGTTGGGTTTATTTTAAATGTGTTAATTTTGTAAAACAAAGTTTCCTGAATAACAGAGGTTTAAAAAAAAAATAATTAGCATACATTTATTAAATTCCCAACTGCTTTTGTCATTTTAATATCAGAATAATGAACAAACTGTCCCATCAGGCCCGTTCTTAGGCAAACGCTGACTAGACATAAAAATGTGTAGAACTTTCTACTTTACAGCTTTTATTTTCTTTTTGACTCTGGTCAAACTTGGAAATATTTAGCAAAGGTTATGATTATACGTAAGCTGATTATTTTAAGTTGTTTTTTTTCATTTGCGTTCAACATATAAAATGATGTTGTATCGGCATCCTTCCGTCTCGTGAGACGATGGTGCATCACCGTTGGGTTGGGTTGCATTTTCTCGAGTGGCTGTGCAGGCCTATCCTTGAGTGACAGTCTTTTCCACAGTTTTTACACACGAGTTCCGTGCTTCTAAATGTTTTGGCCTTTCTCCTAGCTCTTCTGTCTGCAGCCTCTTCCATTCTTCGCTCCTCGGCTACCATGACACCCTCTTTGACAGCTGTGCGCCACGTAGATCGGTCTTCTGCCGTACACTCCCAGTCACTTGTATGTATTTTGGTTGCTTTCATGTCCCTTTGACAGACATCTTTAAATCGCAGACGTGGGCGACCTGTTTTCCTCTTTCCCGAAGCAAGTTCACCATATAGGAGGTCTTTCGGAATGCCGCCAGGACTCATTCTTTTAACATGACCTAGCCATCTCAGGCGTCTTTCACTAAGGATTGTGAACATGCTTTGGGTTTTCGCACGCATTAGGACCTCACTATTAGTCACTTTTTCTTGCCATTTGATACCAGGGATGCGACGCAGGCATCTCATATGGAAGCTATTAAGCTTGCGCTCTTGGGATGTATAGGTGGTCCATGTTGTTATCAGTGCTTTTTGTGATGGAAACTTTTTTTTTACTTCTAAAATTTAATTTATTAATTATGTAGTTAAGCCCCAAAAGGGTTTAAATAAAAAAATGAAAGCAACATTTCTATTTATTCATATAATAATATTTGCAAGCAGGTAAAGCAAAGCTGTTGCTCCACTTCTCGAGGCCACTTTGCCCCTTTTTGCATTGTATTGAAAGATGATAAGAAAGGAAATACCCACATCACATCTTTAAGCCCCTAAAATATCCGAAGCCACTGCAGTCTTAAGGGTTGCTAAGCTCACACGATGTTTCTAAGGTTAAGTGACACCTACATTTTTTTTTTAAAAATACCATAGCTTCTCTTCCGTTGCTATCCGAGTGTAGAATGCTGAAAATCAAATTAAATTATTTGAATTTATAAAAAGATTTCTGGGGATTGAAAATATGTAATAGGCGATATGAAGCTGTGCAAATGCATGTCCTCAAGGACGCTACGACTGGAATGAATTTAGTTCATGTTTCCCTGGTGCAGCTTTAAAGATGTCTTTGATCATTATTATGGCGCTTCCCACAAGAGAGTTTGAATTTCACCCGCAAAAGTGTGTTTTGGGGAGGGCATAAAGAGCACAAGCTCGACGGCCCGCTGACGAATTTCTTATTGTGACATTTCAATTCAACTATACTCTATAATAAAATGCACCTCTTGCTTTTGAAATAATTTTTTTTAAAACTGGGGAGAAGGCTCCCCACCGCACAAGATTCATCTGACTTACATAATTACGCCTTTTAGTTCGTCTTGGGCGTCTACAAGCATTTTCCATTTATCTGTCCTATGCGTTCCTTTTCAGTTACTTGTAGCTCGCGTCTCAATTTATTCTTAGGGCTTCCTCTCTTTCTTTTTCCCAGTGGAAATGTTCGGGATTATCTGGTGATGTTATCTGTGGGTTTGAGAAGAGTGTGCCCTATCCACATCCATCTTTTATATATATGTCTTAAGCAATATGCTCCTGGTATGTCTTTTCCAGTACGTCTTTGTTGACGATAGTGTTTGGAAATTTGATCTTCAGGATATTTCAAAGGCAAGTGCTCATGAAGGTCTTTACTTTCTGCGTAATGCTCGCTGTTGTTCTCCAAGTTTCTACTCCACATAGTAGGCCTGTTTAGACATTTATGTTGAAAATGTTGACTTTGGTTTGAGGAATCAGCTCCTTTTACTCCCATTATGTTCTTTAATAGCTCAAATGTTTGACCACCTTTTTCAATTATATCCCTGACTTCAGCCATCATTTAAGTCAATGGTGCTGCCTTAGTATGTGAAAACCTCATCTGCCCCATCTGCCACCTTAGCTTAGCCCCCCCCCCCCCCCCCC